GAGTCTGAGCAGAATGGATGCTTCTGGAGGCCAAGGGCAGAGCTGCCTTTTGAATGCTACCTCTGTGTTCTCTACAGGACCTAGTATGTGCTCAGCAAACATGTTGAATGAATGAATGAATGAATGATTGGATGAATATCAATGACTGCCTTGCCATGCTGTTCTTATAGAGAGGAAAGTGCCTAGTAACTTAAGTGGGGATGGGGTTTTAAGTCCACCAAGTCCCCATTCTTTGATAAGAAAAATTTTATTTTTCAAAATTATGCAAATGCCCATCCCGACTTCTGCCAGATTGGAAATCCCGAATCCCCACTGGTTGTCATGGAGAGCACCTCGCCTTGGACGAGTGAATCTGTCAACAAACGTTTACTACATCTAATAAAAACCCAGGCACTGTGCTGGTTTCAGCATTTTCATGCGGCCTCACGTCGGCCTATCGCAGAGCGAGGCACACATCTCCAGATGAGCTCACTGCTGCTGGCTTCCACAGAACCAAACACAATCTCAGGACAGGGGGGCCCAGGCTGGGAGTGAGAGGAGGGAGGCCCTGGGACCCGCGTGCTGAAGAATATTGTTAAAAAGAGGCAAACCTCTGATTCTATGCAGATGGTCTGATTGTTTACACGTGAACCATGAGATAGTCTACCAACAAACTTTTAGAGCTATTAAGAAGTTCAACAAAGTTGCTCAAAACAAAATTAATATCCCGAAGAGTCAACATTCTTTATATCAGCAATAATCAGATTAGAAAATGCCATAGAAAAAAAGATCCCATTGCCCATAGCAACAAAAACTAACACATCTAATAAAAGACTGACACAACCTTTATTAAAGGGCAAAAAAGGCCAGAAGAAATAGAGAGATAGATGTCATTTCGATCAAAATCCCAACAGAGCTTTTCAATGAGGGGAGAGGGGGAGATAGGAGGGTCAAGAATAACAGAGTCAGTGTTTGAAGAAGAAATTGAAGAGGAGGAGGAGGAGGAGGAGAGGAATCGCCATGTAAGGCTCCAGTGATGGAAACTGCGGGTGGTGCAGAGGTAGACAAGTTAGCCAGAGGAAGAGGGAGAGACTCAGGGGCAGACTCGAGCATCCAGGAGCTGGAATAAGCCGGAAGCAGCATGCCAAACAGGTGCACAAAGGGCTGCCGATAAATGGGGTGGGCCGATTGGTTCGCCTAGCACTTGGCAAAATCATTAAAATGTGGGTTTCTACCTCAAACTAGCCACGACATAAATTCCAGGCTAAATACGAAAGAGCAAAACTTCAAAACCTTTGAAAGAAGCTAGAGGAGAAATCATTATAACAAAGTCAAGATACTAAAAAAAACACAAGTTGTAAGAGGAAACGACTGATACATTTGACTCATTAAAATTTTCTGAAGGACAAGAGCCCTCATCATCAAAATAACAACAAACCACGGAGTGGACTAAGACAGCCGCAATGTCTGTAACTGACAAATGGTTAACGTACAGACGATGGAAAGAACATCTACAAATTAAAGAGGAAAAGCTAACCACGTAGAAAAAAAACAGGGAAAGGTCACGAGCAGGCAAGTCACACAAGAGCAAACACGAGCGATCAATGAACACAGAGATGCTTCACCTCACTAGTAATCAGGATATGCAGATTAGATAAAGTGAGACGTCATTTACATTCATTACATTGAATTAATACTTTGCAGTCTGACAGCACCGAGGGCTGATGACATCGTGGGGAAATGAGTGGTTAAATTGGTACAACCACTTGGGAGAGTAATTAAGCCACGTCTGGCACGGTTCATGCGATGCATACCAGAGGGAAACATTCCATGTGGGCATGGCCGACACAAACACGGACGCTTGGTGCGGTGCTGTTTATAACGACAGAATGGCGGAAGGGACCCTGAGACAGTCCTCCTGGAATATATCCTGAGAGAGGTCGAGAGCCTCAAAGACGGTCAGGAGACCAAGTCCCGGTTCCTGGTGTGCTTCTAACTGATGACCGATGTTACACACGTCACTGGTCCCTTTGAGTAGAGACTATCTCCCCCCACCCCAGCTCTGAGTGCAAATCCCACCTGCTCAGAGAGGCCTCCCTGACCTCCCTAGTGACACCACCAGCACCTGCAGAGCAGTTTACAGGGTGAGCGTGGAGACGCTGGCCAAGTGAGGTTCAAACCCCAGCTTTAGAGAGCGCTGCCTGTGCCCGCAGGCGAGTTAGCTAAGCTGTCTGTGACTCAGTTCCCTCCTCTGTCAATGGAGATGATAACAGTTTCGCCTCAGAGGGCTGCTGTGAGGGCTGGATGAGCTGAGACCCCGAGGCCTGAGAACCGCCTGAAACAAGGAAGTGCTGGGTAGTAGGAGACCCCATGGCGGGGAAGTGGGCTGGAGTGACGTGGCTGCTGAGTGAGAAGCGCGAGCCCCCCGCACCTCACCCCTCCCTGGGCTGCCCTCCCCATCAGGGCAGCACGCGGCCCAGCCCGGTCCAGCCAGCTGCCCCTCTCCCGGCCCCGGTTCCGGTTCCTCCCCCTGCTGTCCAGGTCCGTCACAGCCTGGCCAAGCGGGTTTGGGGCAGTGTTTATGGAGTTGATTGAATTGGGCTAATTCTGTAAAGTCCTTGAGTGCCAGAGGATGTAGACATCACTGATTCCCTCAGACGGTTATTCTAAGTGGAGATACGACAGGAGGAGGTGGGCACAGTGGCCCAGGTGAGCGACACAGACACCGGAAAGGGAGGAAATCTGAGGCAGGAATTCTGTGAGCCCCGGTCAGGGAGAGGGGCTCCCCCTGCCCCGCTCTGGAGGCCTGTCCAGGGCCCATTGCGTGACTGAAGCACTCGCTGCCTCATGCACAGGATTTTGTGTGAAGAAAGATCCAGAGCAGCAGTTCCCAACCTTTCTTTGGCCAGGAAAAAGTGACATATAATTCTTATTATTCAAAAAGTGAGCTCCTATTCACATGGAGGAAGCCTAAAAGGCCATCAACTTGGTCTAAACAAGTTTCCAAAGAACAAGGCACCCATGAAAGAGAAAAATAAAAGAACGAAAGGACAGTTGAAGTTCTGAGGAAGAGATCACTAAGAAATTGTTTTTTTTAAAAAGTAATAGAAGTGATATGGAAAAATAACAAATAAAGTTTCAAAACATATAATAGAGAACTGAACTGCATAAATGTCACAATATATATTTATATAAGTATAGGAGGTCCCTAGAACCATAAGAAATGTAAAACATTCACTGTTAATAACTCATTCTCGAATACCCCCCTTAAAAATCAAATTGCCCCCTTAAAAATCAAATTACCCCCCTTAAAAATCAAATTGCTCCCCTGTGGGGTGTGTGCCCCATGCTGGGAACCACTGATCTAGAAGGATCCAGGCAGAGCCCTTAGCACTGGCTACAGGAGGGAGAGGGGATTGTGGTGAGTGTGGGGCGAAGGGTGGAGGTCAGTGGAGGATTTTGTTACTCTATATACTTTTACTCCATATGCTTTGGCATTGCTTGAATTCTGTACAGTGAGAGAGAATTTGTTTATTGCATGTGAAATATTCAAAAGAAAAATTAACGTTGCCCAGAAGAGGTACTCAATGAAGGGCATTTATTATCCTTTAAAACAAAGACGGAGACCTCCTGCCCAGCACCCAGGATGGAGCCCGGGGCATCTCCTCCTCACACACACACCGGCCCCTCAGCCAGGCTCACCGGCTCCACCTTCAAAGTGCATCCTGAATCCAGCCACCCAGGTGCTTCTCCCGCCCTCCCCTCCCTCCACCTGCCATGCTTCCTGTTCCCACCCTGGGAGCGAGGTACTAGTAGAAGCCCCACTTTACAGGTGCAGACACTGAGGCACAGAGCATGCAGTAATTTCCCCAGGTCCACGTTGTGAAATGGCAGGGCTGGGTCCAACCACAGGTGTGTGTGCCCTTTGCCGCCCCCACATCGCCGCCCTCACAGCCTCTGTGCCTCGCCTCTCGGGGAGGGATCAGAGCTTGTCCTCTGTCTCAGGCTCGAGGAGATCTGGTCCCTGCCAGCCTCTCAGCCTCCCCCACCCCTCACCCTCTCCTCCCCCACCCTCTAGCTCCACCAGCTCCCTGGCTGCTCCTCGCCTAGAACATTCTTTCCTGCCTGACCTTCGAATGGCTTCTTCTCTCAGTCTCTGCTTGAATGCCGCCTCCTCCAAGAGGGCCTCCCTGATCACTCTTTCTGAAATAGTCCCCACTTTATCCTCCAACCTCTTCCTGCCGTCATTTCATTCGTGGATATTGCGCTTCCTGCGGTGACATCAGGTTACTCTCTATCATGTGTCTCCTTCCCTAGAATTTCTGTTCCATGAGGACAGGGACTCTGTCCCTTGTGCCTGAGCAGAGCTGGGCACAGAGCAGGAACTCAGTACACGAATAACTGCGCCCAGGGTCCCGTGTGGATGGACTCTGGCCTCCAGTGCCCGGTCGAGGCCTGCTGTCTGGGCTGCTGGGAACGTGTCCCCCCGCATGGACGGGGCTTCTGCCCTGGGGGTCAGCGATGTGGCCCATCCTCTCTCTGGGCCCTGGACTGGCGGCGGGAGGTGAAATGAGAGCGTCCACACTCCTTCCCAGTTCCTGTCATCCTGCCCTGCACCCACCGCAGCCCCCAGGTGCCCCCTCTCCGCACCTGGACGGTGGCCTGGCCACCCATGCCCACCCAGGCGGTACGGACATGGGCCGTTCACACGTGCCAGGCAGGGACCCTTCCCCCACGTCTGACTGTGCCCCCTGTAAGTCCCCAGACCAGGATGTGGGGGGGACCTCCTGCCTCAAACTGAGGGGGACAGGGCCTCACAGGTGAGAGCAGGAGCGAGAGAGATGGGGCCAAGCTCCCGCGGGTCAGAGACTGGCACCCGGCAGACTCCAGCTTCAAACATCACAGCCGCCCACCATCCCACTCGACCCACCTCCTCTCCCCTGTCTCCCGGGAGCCCTGGCTTTGCTCCCCTAAGCATCCCTGAGCGACCCGAGGCTCCGGGAGCAGAACCGAGGCCTTACCCATCTCAATGCCGCAGATGACCAGGGCGGCGATCACGGCGCCCGCCGACGTCCCGGCGAAGCGATGGGCGGTCTCCAGCATCCGGGGGGCCAAGTCCCGCAGGGCGTCCACCGCCCCAGCCTGGTAGAAGGAGAGGAAGCCGCTGCCCGAGAAGGAGATGGAGTGAGGGGTGTCCGGGTCCCCCTTGAACACCTGTTCTTCCATCTCCTCAGCCTGGGGCTCCGGGTGGGGAGGAGGCACCCCCCAGCCGGC